AATAGTTAGTGCTTATATATTTGGTATTTCTAACCTCATGAAGATAGTTGTTTTGTTTATTCTGTATTGGCAGTGGATATATGGGATGGGGCTCCACAGAGAATTGTGTTTAGGATGTGTTTCGGTTATATGGGCTATTTGATATAGGCGTATTGTTTTGTTAGAGTGGTGGGTGGTAGTTTTTTTACTATGTTCTATTCTGTGGGGTGCTTTATGTGGGTGTTGTTACGTGGGGTGGACCTGGATGGTGTAAGGATTAGAGGTATAGGTGTGATGGTAAAGTGTTATGGTTTGAGTTTGTGTGAACATGTCTGTGTGGTAATGAAGGTAGAGTGGTGAACGGTTATTTGGTGTTCGTTTACTTTGTCAGTGGGTTGTTATAGATGATATAGTAATTTGAGTGAGCGTGTAATTTATGGTTGCTTGTTGATCGCAAGTGTGTATGGTATTGTGTGATTGTTTCGTTTATGTAGCTTATAGTTTGATTGTTTCTTATTTTGTAGCATGAGGATAGGTTGATGTGGGTCTAGAGTGAGTGATGTTGGGTGTGTGTGAAGGGGTTAATTAAGATTGTATTATGTGTGTTGGCTTGGAGGGTGTATTGCTGATAATTATGAGTTTGTGTGGTAGTTGTATAAACAAGGAGGGGTTCATCACGAAGTTAGTTCATGTTGTAGTGTGTATCTAGGGGGGGTGTAGAGTGGGTTGGGGGTTAAGTGTTTGGTAGTCTGTTTGGGTTGCGCAAGGCTAAGGAAAGTGTGTGGTGTGGTTTGGATCTATTAGTGGGGTGTTGGATTGAGGTATGTTTGCTTGTTGATGGTTTGTTGATTCTGATTGTAAAATGTAGTTAGTCTGTTTTAGATCCATTGTGCTTGATAGATAAATTGTATTGTATGCTTACATAGTGATGAGGTAGGATATGCTTCATGTATAGGAGATTATCACTTGTAATTTGTTGTTTGTGATAGCGGTTGTTGAGTGTTGTGGAGAATATGGTGGTGCGGGATCTGTGATGTGTTCGATTTGTTGGTGTGCTCGTATGTCTCTGAGGTTATTTGTGTGTTTTGCTCCTATGTGGTGTTCTGTGTGTAGATTGGTGATGTTATTTGAATGGATATCTGACGATATTGAGGGAGGATAGTTTGTTATGGTAGTTTAATCCTGTAGATGAATATTCGATGTGTTGGAGTGTGTCAGTGTTTGCAATGTATCTGTCTTGGTTCTGGCCCTTGTTATGATAAGATATCTTTTGCAGACTAAGCGTGATGTGTTGCAGGTAATTTAGCTTGATATGTGTCATCCCTCTTGTATATAGTTTCATTTTTCATTATTCTAAGGATTCAAGAGTCATTTCGGGTTATATTGTTCAACGTTTATATGTAGGTGGATGGTGATATTATAATTGCTATGACATCAATAGTGTGGTTTCTTAGTATGGGATTTTATTATACATGAGGTATCATGGATAACATGTTGGCTTTGAATGGGGCTTGAAATAGCGGAAGAAGCGCCTTTTGTCAACTCGCCAGAGGATGTTTACCGTGGCATAGTAAGTTTTTCGTACCGCATCAGTGTCAACTGTCATGAAAACTAACTGTGACTCTTAGATCTTCATCAGCACAAGTTGATGGAATGCAGACTTAAATAAAGTGGTTGGGAAAATGTTGACACGTGCCAAGTTGTGTTTAATGTCCTCTATCTGGAATTGGAATTTTATGTTAATTGCCAGGTTTTTGCTTGACGCATGTCACAGGCTCGAAACTTACATAATCTTGGCCACTAGCTATTTGAAATCCATGTGTGGTCTATATGTTCTTTATTAATTTCTCTTCCATGGTCTTATCTCTTCTCATCTCTTCCGTAAATAGATGGAACAGTCTGCCAGTCGCGTACTGGGGAATATTTTCATTGTGTGACTTCACAAAATGTCTTTTTAATGTACCATACCTAATACCTCTGGATATTGCGAAATAAGCTGCTTTAACGTCATCTCTGATTCTGTGTTCGCCAGAATACTTGTGTTGTTACTGGAGTTGGGTTAGAATGTTAGATTCCTAGCTTTCTCTGAACTCTTCTCACTGAGCAAGTTTCAAAGATCTGTTTGACCCACGGTATATGCTGCATGGCAACTGATTCTTCCATGCATATTCGGGTGCCTAATATATGTACTACAACACTTTACTAGGATTTTGACATATGGCATATTTATCTTCTTTTTCCCAGGGGAAGCAAAAGCTTGGAGCTTGTTTCCTAGACATTACGACAAAATATCCAGCCCTGATGTAGCAAATCCACTTACTCTTGTCTTTAATTATCACCTCAACTTGATAGCTGTTTTTCTGATTTTTGGCGCATCTGCTGGCGAATAACGATGCGTGTATTTTTGTAACTTCTTCCATGAACGTAACAGTTAATATTCTGGTAGACTTAGTCACTTCAATGTGCAGTTATCAGTTCAGAGCTTCATCTATCTGCTCTGCTCTTACCCGCGAGTGCGAGTTTCGTTCCTAACTCTTCTTTACTCTTCATTTTATATTTGTCACTGTTGATTGGATGATGACTGTCTCATTTGTAAGGCACAGTTGGGCCAATGTCGATACATTTGCCTGGCACTTGTGACACTTGTCTTGTTTGACTGATACTCTCGAGTGAATATTGTTGTTGCAGTTGTGAATTTTGGTCTCGCAATTTTCCTCATATTTTTATTTTCCCCTTTTCTAATATTTCCTGTCTCTTTATTCTGGAGACAGGTCTCACTATTTTCATGATCTTGTGCCCTCTGTCTGCCTCCAGTGTCTCCAACTTAATCAGATTATAGAGCTCCCATGGTCTTTAGGCTTTTGCAATTCATTATTGATGTCCAATGAATTTTGGTTCTGGTAGGAATATTTCCTTGACTGGTACAAGTTTCATGGGCAAAAAATCAGCATGTTTAGCTTCGTTTTTACTCTTACTGTAAAAGAATAACTTTCACTTTCCTTCTGAAACAACTTGTGAACTCAATAATTGCAAGTGTTTTGTCTCTACTGATATCATTCTTCCTTTAGTCTGCTGTATCTCCATAAAAGTGATTTTTACCCCTATCCTTTTCAGGAACAACTTCCTCAAAATCTTTTGAGGTTTTTGAGGAACTTCCTAAAAAAATTTTCCGTTTATCTTGCTCTACCATGCTGCTTCTCGTGTTGATACCTTCCTTCGTGCTCTTGGCCTATTGCTTATAATTCATAATAAAGAATAATAAAGTACAAAGAGTGCTTTCAAAACATTCGCCTGACCCTTGGTGATCTTCCGGGTCAAACTTGGTCATTGCATGCATCCATAACTCGCCGCCATTTTGAATCGGCCTAGTTTTTCTACCTTTTACGCTGATTCCTGAATTGGCCTAGTTTTTTTTTTTTTTACCTCAGCTTTATCCTCGTCGCCATTATAAAGTCTCCGAGACAAGAAAACCAGACATCATCCTTTTGCTGTTGATGTATATATGTAAATAACACAACAAGTATCACATTATAACAGTTGCAAAGCAAACGGTCTCAGTCAGTCTCTGCAGTCCCTCCTTCTGCCTTCCTCCTCCTCTTCCAACAACAACAACCCAAAAATGGCGGACACAACAACATCGTGACGCGATAAACTCAAAAGACGAAATAACAATCAAGCTATTGATAAGATGAGCAACTACCATCCGCTTAGCCCATGCAGAAATGCATAGAGAATTTTAGTGCTATGCGTTTCTGCATGGGGCATCTAAAATCAAAACGACATTGAATTTATAGCGCAAAATCATGCTAACTAACAACAAATGATTGTAACAAGCTGATCTACGTCAAGCTTTTCCGTGCAAGTAGCATTTTTGAATTTTTATCCTTTTTGTAGTTTGCCTTAGGCCCATGCAGAAATGCATAGAGAATTTTAGTGTTATGCGTTTCTGCATGGGGCATCTAAAATAAAAACGACATCGAATTTCATCGCAAAAGCATGCTAACTTATAATAAATAATTGTAACAAGCTGATCTACGTCAAGCTTTTCCATGCAAGTAGCATTTTTGAATTTTTATCCTTTTTGTAGTTTGCCTTAGGACCATGCAGAAACGCATAGAGAATTTCAATGTCATGCGTTTCTGCATGGGGCATCTAAAATCAAAACGACATTGAATTTCATCTCAAAAGCATGCTAACTAACAAGAAGTGATTGTGAGAATATGATCTAGGTCAAGCTTTTCCATGCAAGTAGCACTTCTTAATTTTTATCATTTTTTGTAGTTTGCCTTGGGCCCATGCAGAAATGCATAGAGAATTTTAGTGCTATGCGTTTCTGCATGGGGCATCTAAAATCAAAACGACATCGAATTTTTAGCGCAAAAGCATGCTAACTAACAGCAAATGATTGTAACAAGCTGATCTACGTCAAGCTTTTCCATGCAAGTAGCATTTTTGAATTTTTATCCTTTTTGTAGTTTGCCTTAGGCCCATACAGAAACGCATAAAGAATTTCAGTGTTATGCGTTTCTACATGAGGCATATAACGAGAGGAAGGGATGTCTAAATGCAAAACACCATCGACGATCATCGTGAAAAAAATATTAATAACAGAGGTTGGATTAATTAGCCCGATTCGATTTAAGTTACGACACAAGTTGCCTTTAGTATTTGAAGTTTTTTAGTTTTGCTTCTATTTTAAATATATGTTTTTGCAATCCTCAGCTCGCATAAAAATTGAAATTTAGTAATTTTCATCAAAAAGCAATATTGGTATTTTTATGGAAATCCCTGCTCGACCATTTTGCTTCAACCGCTACATCCCAATTATCGGTACTCCTAAACCTTTTGGCAGTATTAAAAATGTTTGGAGAATTTGTTTTTGCCAGGGATGGCGCTATCGAAAAAATTTTAATGTATTGATGTTTAAGCCTTACATTATTGCTTACAAAAGATATGCCAGTTTTTTGAAAGAAAGAATATGAACAATTTTTTTGTGGTACAGAATTTGAAAATGGCTTTGAAAAAAGCAAACATTTTACAACATACTTAAAGCTTTTTCGTCTGACACTCCTCAGAGCATAAAACGTCAGAATAGGTTCCGAAAAACACGATGGAAAAATATATACCCAGTTGTGGATCAAAATAGGCCAATCAGAAAAACGCAAGCACAAGACCGGTATAGTTGACCAATCAGTGCCGCGAGCCTAAAGAAAAATTACCAATGGAGTCCAAGAGAGAAAACGAACTCCTTTTGTCTACACAATGGCGGCTTTTTCGTTTTTATGTAGATTGAATCCAAAACTGCTAGATGGAAGGACGACCGGGCTCTGCCAATTATCCGAAACATGTCGTCATTATAGAGTTTTGCACAATCTGGGTTGTCTAAAAGGTGTTGACCAATGGCAGAATCACTTGTTTTAACAGTGTTTCTAGACCTACAAGATCGAGGAGGCTGTTCTCTTTGAGGGGCAGTTTTGTTTCGTATGTTGGAAGGAACATGCTGTTTTATCCTATCCCCCAATCTTTGGGTTGTGCGTCCTACGTAGCCAGAATCACACTGGCACGTAAATTCATAAATGACGGAACTTTTTTGTTTGGTAGGAACGCAATCCTTTTGAATGGATGGAAGGGCTCTCCTAATGCTGTAAACAATCCGAGGATTGACAGCAAAGAAACAATTGGTTATGGCTTGCCTAATCTGACTCTCGAATCGCAAGGAAGTGTTACCAATCCATGGTAGTTTCAAATAAACTGGGCACTTTTGCGGACCAAACTTTTGAACAGCCGAAAAACTTGCGATCTTCTCCTTAGTATAAGATAAAATGACGTCTTCAGGATAGCCGTTGTCCAAGAAGATCGTTTTGAGTTTTTCCAGTTCAGCGTGCAGTTTAGATTTCGAGCAGATCATAAGTGCCCTATGTACTAATGTTTTGACAAGGTTGACTTTGCGTTGTTTTGGGCAAAATGAATTCCAGCGTATGTACTGACCGGTAAAAGTAGGCTTGCGATATACACTGGTAAGAAATCCAGTGTTAGACTTTTCAACCAAAACATCTAAAAATGGTAAGGAATCATTTTCTTCCTTTTCAAACGTAAACTGGAGGGCTGGGTGTAGGCTATTTAGGTGTTTTAGAAAAATATCACACTCAGCCTCTGTTTTGAAAATGGCATATGTGTCATCCACATACCGAAAATAGACACCTGGCTTTTGGTCGTAGTCGAACAAACGCTCTTCATGAAAGCCAACAAAGATATTGGCCAAGGCAGGTCCCAGAGGGCTACCCATAGCGACACCATCCTTTTGTTGGTACATTTCATTGTTAAAACCGAATTCAACTGAACGTGTTGCAGTTTCCATCAGTTCAATGAATACTTCCTCTGGGAATGGTGGGCTATTAAGCTCGCTCCGGTACAAAGCGTCGGCGCATATTTTGACGGTCTCACTCAAGGAACTTTATTACTATTAAGAACTCACATGGCAATTCTGTGTCACAAAGGAGCAAAGTCATGGATTCAATAAAGTCGTTTACCTATCTTCATCTGCAGCAGCAGCGTACGGAGAATCTGTCCCGGAAGTCGCTGACACGTACTTAAACTGACTAAACAAAAATTTTCTTGTTTCTTCTTGACTCGGACAGCGATGGGCAACAATATGGTACTCGTCCCATGCAGATGCAAGATACGATCCATCTTCCTTCTCGCTTGCACACATTAGCAATAGGTTGTAGTTAGCATCTCCCATGACTTTTAAACAGTAAAATACAATTAGAAATTTGATTAGCGATCACCGTAGATTTTCAATAATGTTAGACAACTATTAGTTAGTTCTTCTCATGAACTAAAATATACTTTGCTGAATGAAGTATTTTCTAAATCTGTTGTTGGAAGGCTGGTTCAATTCAGTTCAATTAAATACGGAAAATACTTAATACCTTTCTTTTTGCCTTTTCTACCAAAGCTTACCTTTTTCAACGCGTTCTTGCAAAAGTAGAGTTAATGTTTTGAATGCCTGTTCGCTGACATTGTAATCTAACTCGTCGATAAAAGCCACAGTATAGATACTGTCTGGGTCCAAAAGTGCTCTTCGAAGCAAAAGCTCGATCTACAAGGAGATTTTAAGTCAAAATAAGTCGTCTCAATAATATTTCTCGCAGTATCCGAAGATGCAGGCAAGATTTTGCTGCTTATTTGCTTAAAAGTGCACAAGATTTTTTGAAATTTAATTCAAAGAAGATGCTCAAAGAATTTGTGCATGAAAAATATGTGCTTTACAGAAATGAAAAGATACTTAGTCAAGGACTAGACGCGGCGAAGAGTTTGGGATGAACAAACGTTTTGATGTTGGATTCTATTATAAAACTAAGAAATAAATGATCAGCTATTTTTAAAACCAAATTCACCTTTCTACAGAATCAAGAGAATTCGAAAAGAAAGGATATCATCATGACATCTTGTGTGCAGAAAAGGTCGAAGAGACTGTAGGGAAAGAGTGGACACTCGAAAATGGGTCACAGACTACAAGACAAGGAGGAACAAAATCTTGAATTAACAGTTAACAAAAAGCCAGTGAATTTCATTGTTGAATCGCCTGCCGCATCATGATTGCGACGCTAGAACTGTTAACCCTAAATCTTGGCACATGAAGTAATACCTTGCTAGTGCATCAGTCAATATGAGTCTACTTTACAAATAGATGGTGTTAAAAAATTTCTTTATCATAAAATTACCTTTTCATGGGATGTAGTGCTGTTGCAAATTACAACTTCTTTTGGTAAGGGTAGCCGATCACAAGCTTGTTTGTATATGTCAATAATAATACACAGAAGATCATCTAAATCAAAAGAAATAGTTTCGCACATTATATTTTCAATAGCGCAAAGTAAATAATGTACCATTAGTATGATACTAGCACGCATGTTTATTTTTTGTGTTTGTGTAATAGAGAACCGAAGTATTCTTTGTAAGTACTTAATTCAGCGATTTATTCATGATTTAAGGATATAAAAGGTGAAACAATCTACTTTTAAAAGGACAAACAAAAGCAAAAATAATTCAAAAATGGAATCAACTACTAATGAAAAATTTGCGAAGTCTTGTTGATAAAGAATAAATAAATTTAATAACCATCCCTGACTACCTTTTGGAACGACCATTAGGCTTGGATGCTTCTTTTTCATAGTTTCAATGATTTGCAGCTTTTTTGCTCTTTTCTCTGCAAGGAAAAACAAATATATAACGGTCCGATAGGTTTCTTGGTACAAAGTTTTCTTGGTTCAAAATTCGTTAAAATAGCAGCATAAATAGAATGGCCAAAAAGCCAAATACAGAATAAATATTTCACGATGCCACGTGAGAGTGGCAAAAACAAGCATTTGTCTTCATGAAAAAAAGGGAGACTAATTATCAACGGACGAAAAGGTATTTTGAAATTTGTAATCTGGACCCTAAAATATGAAAGAAAAACAATGGCTTATTT